TTTTGTCTTTGATTATAGGCGGTTTACTATTTTCTTACTTGAAGCTTCTCTAAGATATTTGGTGAGTTGGGCATATACTTCATTTTCAAATTTTCGGGCATTTGAACCAGCTTCACTAAAGTTTGGTTGAAGTAACCATACAACCTTCCTGAAAGTCAATGGTTGTGCTGGTCCTGGTCTTAAAAGATTCAAAAATACTGCTAGTCGACATCCAATCTACAGTGTAAAAATATACTTTCATGTACACAAATTATAGGTATTTAACAAGATTTTGACTTGAATGTCTGCAAAATTTGACCTGATATATCCCAAGTTTCTTGAGGCCTTCACGTAATTGGAGTACACAAGGGGACGATGGATTATCCTCAGAAAATATACACTGGATTATTTCCTCTGATATAAAATTTGGCATTTTTCAATTTTGGAGAATGCTAAGGCCAATAAACAAGAAAGAATAATGTCAGGATTTTAATATTATATATAGAGATTGTACAGCACTAAATTACATTTTTATGAGAATAGTAAACATGCTCTACTTGGATCATTACTTTTAAGGGACCAACACTTTCTCATTTAATTTCAGAACCTGCCTTATAATTATGTTTAATAATTTTAGAACCCTGATAAAAGAGCTAACATACTGTAATCATAGTAAATCAAAGAATTTTCTTGTATGAACCTACAGCAGAACCTACACACCAACTAAAAAAATTGTGTGTGATAAATTGCAGGCATGGCCCCTGAGGCATGACTTGAAGTCTTGAACCTATCATAATCACTATCTACTATATATTGTGCACATGTTTCAAACTCATGTCACTACTTACCCAAGACTATTCCAACAGGCAAATATTTATCAGAAAGCATTTCTCTTAACCCATGGTCAAAATATGTTTCCTTTATTTGACGGAGAATCAACCTAAAAAATTATTTTCTGGGGCCACCATAGTCTGCAGCAACCTATATGACAATGACATGAATATGAGAATATCCCTAGTACCATTTCAGTTTTAATATTATAAATATGCGTAGTAATCAATATGCATAATAATCATTCAATACACAATACCTGTGGAAGCACATCCGGCCGCGCGAGTTGGAGTTTGGGCACGTATATAGAGTCGATGGCTCGATTTTTGTCATTCGGTAGACGCAGGCGGCTGGGTGTTTCTTGTGTTTCTTACCCGCTTGGCAGGTTCTAGGACTACCGCCCACTGAGCTATATTAAAATTCCTGGAGTACTTGCTGCGGCCTCCCGGCCAAATCACAGGCGAGATCACAGGCAAAATCACAGACCAAATAACAGGCGAAATCACAGGCCAAATCACAGACACAGGCGAAATCACAGGCCAAATCGCAGGCGAAATCACAGGCCAAATCGTGTCCGCAAAAAGATGGTGGATTTTGAGCTTTGCTGATGCCTCTCATTCGGCTGTTATTTTATAGCATCCAGGTAAGCCGGTTTTTATAACAATTTCAGTTTTTTGCCTTTGGACTCGAATATAAACTGATTACCAAAGGTTCTGAGCCATATAAATCCATCAAAACTTATGGTACAAACAGCAAATATACTATTTTAGACCTTTGGTACATGTGCAATGTTATATACCCAAACTTTATCATTTTTCTTGACTTGTGTGGGGAAGGAATTAAATTCCTGGCAATGTCAATCTTTGAGTTAAGTCTATTTTGTTTTCATGATACCCAAACAATAATGTAAATAGGTAATCCTTCCCCCCAGTGAGTCTACTAGATTCAAGCATTAATTAACATGATCTGACTGACAAAAGTGCTGAGTGGGTGCTGATACAAAGTAATAAGATTTTTGCTGCAAACAGTGTAAATTTCAACCTCTGATGATGGTTACTATTAAAACCTAGTTAATATATTATCTTGTTTGCCTTGTCAAATTGAAATCAATTTATCAATTATCATGGCTTATAGTTAATTGATTTTTTAATTTCCTGCACCTTGTGAATAAATCTTGATCAGATCTCCATTTATATTTTTCAAGATGAAGATGCTATGAAATAAGGCAAGCTAGAGCTTATTAATTGTCATGCAATTTGCTGGAACATTGAACTGAGATGTATTATACACATTGTTATGAATCTGCATTGTTATCCTTCATATGTTGTTGGCTGATATTTTTATAACCATTGTTATATTTATAAAAGAAATATATATACACATGCATTGACTGAGCAGTGTATCTTCAATTTGGAATTTTCTGTTTATGGTATCAAACCCAAGAGGACTAAATTCATTAGGTTAATCAGGAGTAATTGAGTCTATGGAGGAATGAATATTATTCATCAATACGAACAGGGGTCCAGGGCTGCAATTAGATAATATTGAAAACTTTTATAGCCCACTGAGGTACAATTAAGCTGATGACCTTAATAAAAAGTATACTATGCAAATATGACTATATATATATATAAGACTCGCCAGCACTCCCCTTGTGAAAATAACTACTAGTTATAAAACTGAACTTCTAATGTTCTCCTCAGGTCGGTGATACTGCTAATTTCATCAAAAGCAGTCTCCAGTAGGTTATCTCTGTCAACCAAAATAAAATTGGTTTCCCCTTCGCATACGGTTGAAGGATCCTGTACATCAAGAGCTCTACCATAGACAACATTGAGCTAGAGGGATCTCAAAATCTCGACGGGGTTGACAACTTCATGTTGCTCACAATATTTTAAAGTTGACTCAACAGCATCTTCTAAAGAATGATTGCTACCAAATATACCACCAACATTACCTCCAACATCTTGCCTGCTTTTTTCTGTTTCATGGTGTGTCACCATTATGTTCTCATCATTATCATCTATGATGATTTCCTCTCTCTGATGGTCATTGGCATTGAAGGAACCTTGCTGTTCTCTTGTTCTTGAATTGAGGTCAGCCTCTGAAGCAGGATCACTTCTCACATGGCTCTCAATTGGCTCATAACTAGTACTAGTGCCAAGAGTCCTCATCAGCATTTCTCACAGGGTTTACACTTAACTCACCACTGGTACTATTGCCAGCATTGTCATCAGGACTGTCATTGATTAATTTAGTTGAGCAAAGCCATATGTGACTTCGCAAACCTTTAACCAAGAACTCTTGTTGGCAAAGGTTGCATGTTTCTTTAATAGAAGAAATATTGGTATCTTTACCAACAGGTGTTGTTGAAAGTGGTTGTTGAATAGGCCTAAGATAAATTTTAGCTTGTCCACCGCCTAGGGAAGCTTTGAGGTCACTTGCTGACCACGATGAGTTGATGACAGATAGATCCCTGCAGTTGGGCATGCATAACATCATTTTAAAACCACCAGCAGAACGCAACTGTGGAAAGCCCATCACGGTTTGAGTCAGGTCGTCTTTAGCATCAGATGTGACCTTATTTTTTACTTTTTCTTCATCATCATCGAGGTCTAATTTAATTTTCTTAACACCCAAACCAGCTTTATATAGGATCTGCTTTTCGGATACCGATGGGACTTTCGAAGTGTATTTATCTGCAAGGCACAAAAACTGCACTGTCCATGGTCGTTTCTTAGTCGTCTTTTTGTTTCTTTCTGTCGATGTTGTTCTTCGGGAAGATGATGTGCTGGGAGAAAACAGCAGCTATCGTTCTCGAGCCAAAACGAAACAATGACTTTGATTAGTATTTATAGATTGACTGGCCAGTTTCTTGCGGCATGATTCGCGTAAACGAGCTCGTTCGCCAATTGTATTTACGCCAAGACGATTCAATTCCGTGTCAGTTAGTGAAACTAGCGCCTCCGGATCAATGCGTTCTTCTCTAAATCTATCAATAAGTGTTCCCAAACCAACTTCTTGTAAAATAACATCCATCCCAAAACATGCAAGATAAATATCGTGATCGTAGATGACAAAGATGGCATACATAAAAATGTAAAAATGGCGGGTAGTTAGTTGCAAATTGGATCTTTCAGGTGTCGATGTTCATCTCGGCCGAGCGTCCGATAAAATCCGACAATATCCGGTATATCTCGATCTAACCACCACCACATAATGATAAAAGCACCGCGTAAAAGGGTAAAAGCACGACATATCGATAAAATACCACGTAAAATATTTGAAGCACTGCGTAAAATAATGAAAGCACCGCGTAAAATACTAAAAGCACCGCGTAAAATAATAAAAATACCGCGTAAAATATTAAAAGCACCACATAAAATATTAAAAGCACCTCGTAAAATATTAAAAGCACCGCGTATGATGTTCAAAGTACCCCGTATAATGATTGAAGCACCGCGTAAAATGCTTTTTGATCACTTAAGACAGTTACGGCTTTCCATACTTAATCGACTTTGTGAAGGTAATCATACTCCGAGTGATCTACAAAAACTAAAGGAAAGATGTATTGAAGAGAGTGCTTGCCCCAAAGAAGCTCCATGTTTATTCATTCAAAATGCTCTAGTTGATGAATACAATGATATAGTTTATCAATCATTTGATTGTCGTGATAAATACATAATCAGGGCGTAATTGGAGCCTGTTCAGCTGAGCTGAAAGAAAAGATAATGAGACAAATAACTGAGATACAAAACAGGCGCGTTGTCAATACGTCGACGACGTACTTTTACAAAATTCACGTCGTCATAGATCCTTTGTATTCACTTTGTTTTTTGCTTCGTTTTTTTATTGATATGGCCGAAGTGATTGAAGTCTGTGCATCCACAAGCAAAAAGTAAGTAAATACTTCCCAGTCTACCTATAAAAGGACGGTTAAGTGCGTTTGTAAACAAACGCTTTGTTTACATTTTGAACAAATATTTTTTTTTCCAAATAAGATGTTATTGAGTTTATGTCTATCATTGTTCTGACTCATTATGCTTTTAAATGAATACAGATTGGAGTTTTAATTAAAAAAACGTCAAAATAACGTGAAATTTAGGATTTTGTATAAGTTGTGCTTTTGCTTTTTGTTGACATTATTTTCATTTGTAATGTTCCAATATAGGTCAACAAAACCTCAGATTATGTCATGGTCATCAGACAGAGATGTTCTGTTTTGTCGTGAAATTTTAGTGTCAAACTTGTTTAACACAAGAAAGTCATCTATTGAACGAGGCCAGGTTTGGGAATCAATTGCTCAGAAGCTATGTGACATACGGGAACCAGCTTTTAGAGTTGACCAAAGGTCGGTGAGGGACCATTACAAGAAACTTATTCAAAGGTATTCAAAGATTCGAGAGGAGTTGAATGCGAGCGAGATAAGTCCGGAGAAAAGCGAGTTGGATGTATTGTTGGAGGAGATTGTGGAAAGGGATGCGGTGGCAGAGGCAGAGAAGGAGAACGCAGTGGATGGTGAAAAGAAGAGAACAGAGGCGGATAAGGTGGCTGCTGATGACATGAGGAGAAAGGCAAAGAAGACTCTGGCTGAGAAGCAGAAAAGAAAAGAGGGTGAGGAAAGTGCTATAAAGAAGAGACGGCAAAGTGGAGGTGAAACAGTGGTATACCTAAGAGAAAGGGCAGAAAAAGAAATGGAGATACGAAAAGAGGAGTTGAACTTCAAGAGAGCAGAAGCTGATCAGGAGAAAGAAAGACAGCGGCAACAAGCCGAGTATCAAGCAAAAATGTTTTCCCAACAGGAAAACATGATGAAAGCAATGTTGGAGCAGCATCAGCAACAACAACAGCAAATGCAACAAATGCAGCTGATGATATTGCAACAGCAACAACAACAGAGTCAGGCTTTGATGGCACTACTGGAAAAACTGTCAAAGTAAGGCTATTTTTGCATGGTACTGGACAAATTTGAAATTACAGTAGTCCCCCGCTAACTCGAACTCGCTTAACTCGAACTCCTCGCTAACTCGAACTAATTCCAATTCCCCTTGAATTTGACAGTGTTTTTTATAGTAATTTACTCCGCTTAACTCGAACTCGCTTAACTCGAACTCCTCGCTAATTCGAACAAATTTTGTTTCCCTTTGGTCAAATATATCCGGTTAACTCGAACTTTGGTTTCGAATCATAGATCAGCAAACTTTAAAATGTGAGAAGATAGAATTTTGACAACTGGAAACTATCAAAATAACAACAAGTTACTCAGTGTATAATTGTATATAAATGCTTATAAATTTTAAAAGATTTTGTGTGGTGCTACGGTCGTTATTGATCCAACTTTTTTAGTTCCTTTTGTATTCTTTCGATCTTTTTAATTTTAAAACGTCGTCCACTCTCGCTGACCATTCATATTGGGAGGCCTGGTATCCCTTGAAGAATGATTCGATTGGATTTTATATCTTATTGTAATATTATAATAAACGTAATCTGACACCAACTCCGGTTAACTCGAACCCCCGGTAACTCGAACAATTTTTCTTTCCCCTTGGGAGTTCGAGTTAGCGAGGGACAACTGTAGTCTGAAATTTTCCCTTTTCGCCTGTTTAAATGGACCATTTACTCTATGTTAGGGGTCTCAAATTTGTCCAAAAGGGACAAATTTGAGACCGAATCCAAAATTATGTGTCCGGTACCAGCTGTAAACAGGTTCTAAAACTTGTGGTTTACTGTTGTATGTTACATATATGCAGGCCATTTGCAGGCTTCAAATTTCAAAATTTTTCTGGACAAGCATGTCCCCACCCCCTAGAAAACACCCTGCCTCGCACAAGTACTACCTTGGGGAAGGAAGTAATCCTTTTCAAAATGTTTTGGGGCAAAAGTACCCCCTCTGGTAATTATATGCACCCCTGCTGCAACATTAAGGATGTCAATTTATTTGCTACAACTAAGTGAGATAAGCATTGTCAGTCTTGAGTTCATATTTTTGTCTCATATGCAGTCAAGCATGCAAATTTGAGAAGTGTATGTAGATTACAATCACAAAACCACAAGTATCACAAAGCAATATTGGATATAAAACTGACATTTAAAAACATATTATGTTATTACATTATATTATTTAAAAACATTATATTATAATAACTAATTGAACTGTTCAATATATTTATTCAAGTGTTACAAATAAAAAATAAAGTAATTGCTATGCAACCTACCGGTATATAAAAACACACACTTTCAAATTACCAATAATGGATTAGTCCAGTCAAATCACTATACAATAGATGGCTAATTTGCATATATTTTGAAAGGATGTACTTTTTATACAGGTTGTATATATTTGTATACTAGAAGTAATCACAGATTAGTAATGTGGGTTCGAAATGTGTCAATTTCGGTTCAGGATGATTAACAAAAATGCTAACATTAAACGTCACAGCGTATGATTAAAAGTTTACCAGCAAAAAGAGTAATTTAACAACAGTGATGGCTCATATGCTTTATTTAACAACAAAATGTCAAAATATACAGTTTGTCTTTACTGAAATTACAGTCTTATAAAAAGTTAATCTTTCAACTTAAAATTAGGTGTAAATTTTGAAATAATTTGATAGCTCTGTAACTCATGGCACAGAGGTGATATAAATAAAAATAAGAAAATTTAAAAAATACAGTATCTCATGTGTTCTTATTTATCCATTAATTCAAAGTCAGAGACTGTCTCAAAGCAATCTCAGGTGTAGGATGACTACAGTTATATGTTGTATAGTTAAAAGGCTTCACTTTTTTGAGACAAAGAAATTGATGTAACTGTATAGAGTATAGTGTTAAGTAACAGAACTAAGTAACAAAACTAAGTAATAAAAAATCAAGTAACAAATCCCTCACTGATATTGGCAAATCGCTAGAGCAAATTGCAACAGACGCGAGCAAATTGCAAGTTAAAATTTACAACAAATTTTAAAACAAAGCCCCTGATGGCACTATGAACTATGAATTTCAACTTGCAATTTGTTTGCGACGGTTACAATTTGCTCGAGCAATTTGTTAATATCAACATTGCAATATTGTAGTATGGCCCGCAACAGTAAAGTCAATAAGAAGTTTTTTTATGAACTATGGTCAACGAACAAAAATTGCAACAAGTGTTTGAAAAGTTCTACCTTACATGATAGACAGTTTTAAATGTAGATAACATGCTGTGTTCTTTAAGGTGTAGAAAGTTAAACAGGCTCCACCTTGGAACGGAGCCTTGGAACGACAAATGTCACTAACTTGGTAACTAAACGCATCATACGTAAAAGTTAGAGAGGTCTGGTAATTCTCCAGAATCATCGTAGTGATGGCATCTTTGGTAGTTGTCTTAAGTTGAAATGCAGGGTTGATGACCTCCAGCAAACGCTGCGTTGAAACGCTGTCTAGACGAAGATGGAGATTTTTGGAGCCGCTTTTGGGCTTAACGAGAATACGCAGAGACCAGTGGACAGAACAGGTTGAGGGTAGCTGTTGTAGCTTGCAAAACTGGCAGATAGCCTTGTTGGGAGCAACAATTTCAACATTTCGTTTGGCACAGCCATTACAACCGATATGTTTGGAAGCTTGTTGTACTCCTATAATGGTACCATTGACTGTTGATGTTGTGTCAATTTTGTCCTCATATTCCACGACAGGTACAGAATAAGGAGTAGCATCAACTGCAACAAAACCTTCGTTTTTCGGGGTATTGAGGTAGTGATCGTATTTCGTCGATTTTACCCGGACATTCTTTAAGGTGTAGGTCTCGTTTTGTTGGAGAGAATTTATGTACTCTCCCCAAAGAACAAGTTTAACCGTGCCAGTGGGGTCCGCTATAATGACATCCTGTTTCTTTACTTGTCCAAAACGTGTTGACTGTACTTTAATACCAGACATTTTCATCACTTTACCTTTGATTTCGATCAGTTGTTCTGAAGCTAGCTTTGATATGGCGGAAATATTTACTGGTTTGCCTGTCGACGCTGAAGAAATTTCTTCCGAAAAGGCAAAATTGACTTCGTTCTTATCAAGTGCTGAAACCTTGGTAAATTTGGTGATGGTCAGATCATCGTTGGTGTTGCTTGATTGTTTGTAATTTTTCAGCTTAACTGGGCTTTTTGAGTTTGAAAGAGCCTGTTATCCTGGCCTTTTCTACGGCGAAAAACAGACTGCTCTGACTGGCTTGTCAGCGCATTGGACGATACAATTAAAATATTTTCTTTTGGAGTCTGACGCATTCTTGATTTCCGAAATATTATGCAAATAGCATGTTAAGCCGGAGGAATCTAGGATAAAGTATCTTGTATCAATTAAAATTAACCATGTATTAGCTACATATAATTTAATTTAAAAATAAGAATTAAAACCCAGCAAAAGACTTTCTGACAAGACGGACAAAAGATGAAATTCATTGGCTAACATTCTGTTTGAACTATGTTAGACATAGTCACTCAGATCGATATCACTAAACATCCAATTTCGCAGTCTGATTTAAAATCCTTTTCACTGCTACTTCTGAAGCCAATTTGCTAATTCGTTCATTTATTTGCCGGGCTTTAATTTTCATTTAAGAAGACTTGGATGTACAGTACATCTTTACCTTGTGTCTGTTGTTGATCCTGTTCAGTCATAGATTCATCCATGGTAAATCAAATGTGAAAGTACACGTAATCTAAATTGAAAAACATTAATTAGGCATAAAATAAATTATGCAATTGAGAAAAGTTTTTATTAACTTACTTGTCCGAAGGCCACCAATATTCAGTTAACTATTCAATGATTTCAATGAAAAAACTATATATTTCTAAACTATATACTTTTAATATATCCTTAAAATGTTCAATTAATAATTTATACATACACCTTGTGGAGAACTGGAAATCTAAGAAAAAATGAGCCATTATATAACTGTTCATCATATAATGCTTCATCCTAATTAGTATTCTTTAATTTGTACTTCTTTAATTCTTTAATTCTTTAATTTATTGCTTACCATGATCAATTCCACTTTAGCTACATACAATAATATTCCTTCAATAATATTAATATTTAAAATTTAAAAATTAATTAAATTTAAATTAAGCACGCTTCGGCTTGTGCACTCTTGATTTGCTATAACAACCTTTCTAAATTTTGATATCAAGCACGCTTAGGCTTGTGCGCTCTCGTTATAGTAAATTTTGTATGACAGCTCGCGACTGATTGTCCCGCTCATGTGAATAACACGTGAATGCGTGTTAGTAATAATCCCACCTTAGTAATATAATACATTGGCATCACATCTTCATTTCATGAATAAAATCTCTTTTATGTTTGTGTGTTGGTTTCCTTCCTCCTTGTAAACCAGCCATTGTCCAGTCCCAAGCCTGGAATGAGAAATTGGTGAGGGGAAGGAATATTATTGTATGTAGCTAAAGTGGAATTGATCATGGTAAGCAATAGTGATATGTTGTCCTGCTTGTAGCTCCTCATACTATCTCGGTAAATTTAAATTAAGCATGCTTCGGCTTGTGCACTCTTGATTTGCTATAACAACCTTTCTAAATTTTGATATATATATATATATATATATATATATATATATATATATATACAGGTGTAGTGATAGAAACTATCGTGAAGATAGAAACTAGCGCATACAAAATCGTCTGGGTTGAGTGCTCAATGCTAATGCAGAGCGGCATAACACAAGATGAGAAAACGCAGGTTACTTCATCGAAATTTTATTTACTACAGGACTGTTTCGTATGACAAGCTTCTTGCACCAGTAGCTCGAATTTTGATGCGACAATGGGCAGTTTTGACGGTGCGGAAACATGCGAACTGGTGGGAGCCTACTTGCTATCACAACTTCCTGCCACGTATAGAAATGCTATTGGTTTGTACCGAGATGATGGCCTGAGCGCGTTCAACGTCCCTCCACGCG